AAGTGTGAAAAAAGAAAGAGAATGTCAATTAATAGAAGAAGATAATTTAGAAGAATTAAATTCTGAAATTTCAGAAGAAGATAATTTAGATTTTGGAATTATAGAATTAATTGATAATGAAAAGATATATGATATGCTAATAACAGAACAAGAAATAGAAAATTTAATTTCTAGATTAGAAAAGATGGAAATTATAGGTGAAAATGATCTAAAATATTGGGAAAAAGATAAAATCTTATGTGAATTAAAAATAAAAAATCCAGAATACATAATTAAAACTAAGAATATAAAAACTACAAATTTAGACATAGAAGATTTTAAAACACATATAAAAGAACTCTTAGAATTAGGAGTTATTAGAAAATCAGATAGTCCTCATAGATCAGCAGCTTTTATAGTTAGAAAACATTCAGAAATTGTTAGAGGAAAAAGTAGAATGGTTATTAACTATAAAAGACTTAATGATAATACTATAAATGATGCTTATAATATACCAGACAAGACAGTTTTAATAAATAAAATACAAGAATGTAAAATATTTAGCAAGTTTGATTTAAAATCAGGATTTTGGCAAGTAAAGATGCACCCAGAAAGTATTAAGTGGACAGCCTTTACCTGTTCAGAATGACATTTTGAATGGCTTGTAATGCCATTTGGAATTAAGAATGCACCAAGTATTTTCCAAAGAAAAATGGAAAGTATTTTTAATAGACATAGTAAGTTTGTAATAGTATATATTGATGATATTTTAGTTTTTAGTAAAAATAAACAAGAACATAGAGGACACTTACAAATAGTATTCTCAGAATTTATTAAACATGGTTTAATAATAAGTAAGAAGAAATTATTTTTATTTAAAGAATTTATAGATTTTTTAGGAGTTAACATAGGAGAAGGTAAAATTAAGTTACAACCTCATATTGCTAAGAAAGCTTTAGAATTCCCAGATAAACTAGAAGATTTAAAACAAATACAAAAATTTCTAGGATTGGTAAATTATGCTAGACCATTTATAAAAGATTTAGGAAAAATTGCAGGACCTTTATATGCAAAGACATCTCCTACAGGACAAAGATTTTTTAATCAAGAAGATATAAAATTAGTTCAACAAATAAAAGAAAAAATAAAAACCCTGCCAGAATTAGTCATGCCTTTAGATTCAGAATATTTGATTATAGAGACAGATGGAAGTATGACAGGATGGGGAGCTATATTAATATGCAAACCCAATAAATATACTGATAAAAGTACAGAAAGAATTTGTAGGTATAATAGTGGAAATTATAAGGAGAAAGGAAATTTAAGTAGTATAGATGTAGAATTATTAGCTATTAATTATGCATTAGATAGTTTTGAATTATTTATTATATCTAAGAAATAAATAACTATAAGAACAGACTGTGTAGCCATAGTCTCTTTTGTTAATAAAATGAAAATAGATTCAAAAAGAAGTAGCAGAAAAAGATGGTTAAATTTTATAGATAGAATCACAAATACAGGAATTAATATAGAATTTGAGCATATTAAAGGTAGTGATAATAAGGCAGCAGATATATTAAGTAGAATAATAATAGATAGAAATTATTAAATTTGTTTAACATAATTTCTTTATACAGATGACAAGGCCAAGGCCTATAAGACCAGGAATTCCACCAGGGAATTCATTTGCATCAAGACTATTACCACAGACTCCATTTAATCAGAACAGACCAATGTTACAAGACAGACTAAGGTTTGGAAACCAAGAACTCATAGTATTTCCCAATAGTAATATTTCTTTTAAAATTTTACCGCATATTTCTTTATCTAGAGAAGAGAAATGCATCTTAGACAATTTATGGATTTCTTATAATAAGAATCCAAAAGACCAAAAATATTTTCTTGCATGCATGAATGCATTGTCAGAACATTTTAGTCAGAACAAGCAAAGGTTTAAATTTTATGTTGTCATTAAAGGAAGAACTCCAGGAATTTTTCATTCTTGGTTAGAAGTTATAGATTGCATTAAAAATTTTCCAGAACCTATTTACAAAGGTTTTACAAATTTTCAAGAAGCATTAGATGTTGCAAGACAACAGATAGGAATAAATTTTTATTTATCTCCTTCTTTGAAGAATTACTCAGACCCTCCATTAGACTTTTCTCCAAGCAAAGACCAGAATATTTTCTACCAACATTGTGAATGTATGCAGAGAAATTACAAAGTTATCAATGAAGCTAATCAGAACCTTTCATTAGAAAGAACTCAACTCCAAAAGAAAGTAGCCCAATTAGAAAAAGAGATTTTGGATTTAAAAATCCATTGTCCAACAGGTACTATGGAGCCCAAGAAGTCCATAGCTAGTCCAGCCCAAACGGTAGCTGGTAAAGACTCATCAAATCCGTTAAAGGTTGTGGACGTACCAAAAGCCCAACAGACTCAAGGGACTGTTGATTCTCCTACTAAATTAGATGATCAGACTCAGGAGACTGATAAATCTGCTACAGAAAAAGGTAAAGAAATTTAGGATCTTTTAGGACAGCCCAGTGGAAAATTTGATTACTTAGTAAAGTATAGTCCGCCAGAACATTTTTCTTCAGAACACTTTTCAAACAATCCAGAATTTTCACAAGCCCAAGAAATTCAATCCAGTAAGGGAAAAGAAAAAATGGTAGTCCAAGATAGTCAAGAATGTTTATTTTTCCAAGAATCACAAGATCCTAATCCAGATACCACTTCTTTAGAAAAGATCTTTGAGAAAATTGAAGAACTCTAAAAACAATCTAAAAAAGATGAAGGGACTTCTTCTAGAAAAAAGAAAAAGATTAAGAAGAAGAAAAATGATGAAGGACTAAAAGAACAAATAAGAGAAGCAGTTAACCAAGCATTCGAGACAATATTAAAAAAGAGCCATGAAGAAGAAAAAGAAATTACAGAATGTCTAGATCAGAAAGAAAAAGATGAAGCCAGTAACTCCAGACTTTCAGATGAAGACGAAGATCCACATGAAGAAGGATACAATAATTCAGATAGTGGAATGTCATTTTCATCAGTGGCACGCCATAATCTCAGTACATAATCAGATCCTCAATAATGCAAAACAAGACAAAAGTGATGGAAGAAAAGAAGGAAAAGCTGAAGATCCTTATCACATTACTATAGACCTTTTGATTTTTGAAGAAAGATGTCAGAAACTTTTAGACTTTTTACGTAAATTAGTGGAAATTTCAAGATTCCTAAATTATAGACTTTTAGACTTTTGTAAAAGTAGAAAATTTTCTTTCCACTTGTTAGACTTATCTTGAATTAGCCAGAAGTTTCTCGGTGAAACGTGTGCTCTTTTCAAGGATATTTTAGACTTTTTGCTCCCAAGAATTTTTCTATTTAAGGAACAAGTTTCATTTGGTTTAGGCAGAAGTTTACAACCTGTGTACTCTCTGCTATCCAAAAACCTTTTGAAACCTTTCTCAGAAAAATTCTCAATCCAAAAAATCATTGTATAGCTGAATCATCCTTGTGAATACAGGTATTTTGGTATTTCTTTAAGTTTATTTTAGAACTTTAGGAACTTCCCGAAAGGGAAGTCTTTAGTTGTAAATCTTTTTAAAGATGAATTTATAAATCCCTAATTTATATTTTACTAGTTTATGTTCATATTGTTGTATTTATGTTTTAAGTAAATGTTTTTTATGTTTCTCATTTCATCCTATGCATATAATAAAAGCATAACTTGATTTCTAGAAGCCATACTGTTTTTAAGTTAATCCTGAGTGACCCAGATGAATGAAAACTTTTGACCGGGTGAGCCTTTTTGATATTTTCTAGAGATGCTGGGGAAAGGGAGAAATTAATCTAAGAATTTTATAAGGGAGTGCCACGGGTAACCTTATAAAAAGAAATCAGGTTCAAGTTTATATGTCATAGGTGGTGAAAATTTAAATGAAAAAAAAAAAAAAGGATTTATACATGATTCTTAAGAAAGAAAACTAAGGAGAGTACTGAGTAGGATTAAAGTTATTAAAAGTTAAACAGCCATTTTAAAACAGCCATCTTAAAACAGCATACCCCCCCATATATACATATATATATACTTCGTGAGTTGTAGCCTCTTCGGAGCATTGAGAGTACATTAGATCTTGGTTGATAGCATCAAAATCTTGTAATAACATTTCATTATTGATTACAGGAGAAAACTCATCCTTTGCTGGTGATTTTTTCATCTCTTGAGTTTTCACATAAAATCTTATGCTCTTGTGTTTTGATTGCTTCTCATATTGTCACTATATTTCTTTTATTTTTGACAAATCATTTGAATTATGGCTTTAAACAATTTTTGTGGGTTATTTGAGTTTAGGGATTTTTATTTTTTTTTTTAGTTTAGGGATTTCTTGTTAAAGGTTTGGGAAGAGGTACTAGAAAACTGAGGAGATGAAGAGGTGGTATGAAATATTTTTGGAGAATATGAGGCTTTCTTTTACTCTTGGTGTCAATGGTGGTTTCTTCTTTTCTTTGGAATTTAATCATTTTGTGGATCTTCATTTTTGTGAAGATATGTGTTTTTTGCGGTATATCATTAGTCATGTGAGCTACTCTTGACCTATTTCCTTGTAGAGACTTTTTATTTTTTGGCCTCTTAGAACATTAATTTGTAAATATCTATCTAGCTACAATACTGATGTGTATAACTTTAATGAATGGAATATAATTTTATCTTTCCTACTCAATTATTAGAGAAAACGAACTGTTGGTGTATGTACAGCTAAATCTGCAATTTTTATCTTAAGATTGATGGAGACATTTGAAATAAAATAATTGTTTGTCAATATATGGAATAAAGGTTAAGTTTAATTCGTAAGAGTGTAATTAAACTCCATGAAAAAGTAAAAAACAAAAGAAAGAAGAAGAATGAATATGTGGTGAGAAATAAGATCTAAGGCAAGTGATTGACACATTTTCTTTAAGATAAAATTGCCCACGAAATGGGGCTAACAGATTGTGGCACTTGTCCCCTCAAGACACAATGTCTCAAACTTCTTGTTAACATCATCGGAAGGCATAAGTTGGTATCATCAAACTAAAAGGTAACCTTCAATGCAATTGTTTCATTTTAAAATTTGTAATTGCCATTTTCATCTTTCTCTACTTAGTATTTATTACTGCTAATAATGTTATTATCTAACTTTTCAATTATTTTTCTACATGAAAATCATAAAAAATGAAATTTAGATAATTAATAAACGATTTTACAAATTTACCAAAGGTGGTACTTTTTATATGCAATTATTTATTGGGACAAATTGCAAGATTGGTCCCAATTTATGTTTTATGTATCTATATTGTACTCAACCTTTTAAATATGGATATTTTGATCGTCAAAATTCGACGAGTTAAAAATATAAATGGCCTTTAAACTTTTCATAATATTTGTCATTGGTCATTAAATTTTAAAAAAAATTTGGGATGATCATCAAACTTATTAAAAAGTTATCTCATCCATCATTCAATAAATCAAAATTCAAAAAATTAAATTCGTTGACGTGACAAATGAAAAACTCTGATATGACTCATTATTTCCATTAGTTGTTGACAAATAAGTGGAAAACACCTTTAATATATTAAAAATCCGATCGACTTTCTTTGCTTTTTTTCTTTTGTTTATTTGTATTTTCATCTACTATTAGTTTTTAATTCCTTTTCTCGTTAATCGCATTTTTATATGCTTGTTTTTGACTAATATGTCATTTCAATCATGCTTGATGTACAATCCCTTTTACATTATGCCATGTGGCGTGTTGTCATTAGATATTTTGAAAAACTATTTATCTTTCCAATCAATACTTTTTTGCACATACAACACTGTCAACAATGTTGTCAAACAATATTGTACAAATGACATTATTCTTGTCATTAACTAATGGCAATAATGTGCCATGTCAATATTTCTATTTGCCACGTCAACGAGTCCGTCAAATTTTGAGGAATGGGCAGGATATGATATAATAAGCTCGATAACTATTCAAAATTTTTTAAAAATTTAATGGTTAGTAAATGGCTATTTGAATTTTAACTCACCTTTGATTTTTGTTGCATTAGTAGGCTAAATGGTGGTTTCGTGCAATTTTGTGTTTTAAAAAGTCAATTTATATATAATGATTGTACTCTTTTATATATATATATATATATATTTTTTTTTCCCCTTTTCCGTTTCCTTCTATTAATCATTTTTTTTTTCAATTATCTTTTGTAAATAATTTATTTGTATTTACCCATTTTACCATCAAAACACAACTTTTGAGGGCGTTAAAACTGAAACGTCGAAATTCAAAATATCCTGATTTCGCGTGACAATCTTATTATTATTTATAGAGAACGCTGTAAGCCATATACCTTTTTTTCACCTTAAAGCTACTCAAGTCTGTACCATATTTTTAGTTTTCAGCAATTTACTCAATGATTCATTTAATTACTATTTAAATTATTTAAACTCATGTTATATATATGTACTGATCTTTATCTTAAGTATATGGAATATATTATGTTTGAATGAAATAAAGCTTTAGACTATATATATTTGTTGTGAAACTATGGATTCGAGTCCTGAATCCACCTGCTTGCAAGAGAAATAGTTAAAAAAAGGGGAAAAAAAAAAAAAAAAGAGAGAGAGAGAAAATATGTCTAACATTCAAAGATTCACAAAACGGGCACAAACGGAGGTACAAACGTTGTTCCGTAGACCGAAGCTTTATGGTTGAATTACATGCCGAAATGATATGCTAAACCAAGCCAGCCAGTTAAAATCAACAAAGACAATGACAAATCACTACATCTGCATGGAATCCTTTTGCACATATAATTAGTGAAATGAATAAGCATATAATTTTGCATATAAATTCAGCATGTATATAATTTATCATTTACTGGGAAATCCTTTTGCTCTTGATTTGTTAATGCTTCACTGGTGAAATGCAATTCTAAGAACCTTAGTTTGTTTGCTTCTTATTATGATAGGCTTCTCTGATATTGCTGGAATATTTGTCTTTTGAGCTGGAAAATTGATAATGGCGGTAAATATAGTCGTTTCTATATTTGGGCAGTGTACGGGGTTCATTTTAAATCCAATTCGGTGCCAATTCGAGTATATATTCTGCTACGACAGTAAAATTGAAACTTTGAGGGATAAGGTGAAAGATCTTGAAAATAAGGAAACCGACGTGCGACAATTGGTTGTTGAAGCAGAAAGAAATGCAGAAGCTATTAAACCTAGTGTTAAAGATTGGCTGCAAAAGGTTGATGACTTAAAGAAACAGGCCTATGAAATTTTGAAAAGTGCAACAAATTCTGAAATGCAGTGTCTATTCCTCACATGTCCAAATTTGAAAACCCGTTACTCACTTGGCGGGAAAGCCACGGAGAAGACTGCTGAGATTGCTAAGCTCCAGGTGGAAGGTACATTTCAAAAGGTGGGCGAACCTAAACCACTAGTGCAGACACCTTATCAAAATCTCGGTGACTTTGTGATTTTTGGAACAAGGATATCTACCAAAAAGAAAATTATGGAAGCTCTAAAAGACAAAGATGTCAGCATAATTGGTATATGCGGGATGGCTGGAGTAGGTAAGACAACAATGGCAAATGAAATAGCCAACGAAATCAAAGTGGACAAATTATTTGATGAGGTTGCAATCTCGGTTGTATCTCATGATCCAGATGTAACCAAAATTCAGGATCAACTTGCTGATATGCTTGGTTTGAAAATTGAAGAGAAGAGTAATAAAATTGTGAGAGCTGGGCGACTTCGTGAAAGACTTGGAGGTGACAGAAGTAAGAGCATCCTTGTTATTTTGGATGATGTTTGGGAATATATTGAGTTGGAAACTATAGGAATTCCTTCATCAGGTGATGATAAAAGGTTGAAAATTCTATTAACATCACGCTTTGAAGATGTGTGTAGTAACATGGGAGCTCAAAGGAAATTTGACGTCGATGTTTTATCTCAAGAAGAATCCTGGGAACTTTTCAAGGACAAGGCAGAGATTTCTGATGATGCAATACATATTATAAAGAGCACAGCACAAAAAGTTGCAAGGGAATGTGGAGGCCTACCTCTCGCACTTGTCACAGTCGGAAAAGCCCTCAAAAAAAGAGGAGAACATGCATGGAAGAATGCACTTGAAGAACTACGGCATTCTAGAGTGACCAATATCAAAGGAGTGCACAAGTTGGTGTATTCGAGGATAGAGTTTAGCTACAACTATCTAGAGAGTGACGAAGCCAAGTCCTTGCTTCTGCAATGCTCTTTGTTTCCAGAAGATCATGCTATTAATACTGAGGATTTGGTTAGATATGCATACGGGCTAGAGTTGTTTAGAGATACAATGTCGTTGACAACAACCAGAGATAGGGTAAACTCGATTGTCGACAATTTGAAAAGCTGTTATTTACTACTCTCAACTTGGAGAGAGGAGCATGTAAGATTGCATGATGTTGTAAGAGATGTTTGCTTGCAAATCGCATCTAAAGACAGGCATGCATATATGTCAAAACACATTGGTTTGAAGGAGTGGCCAAAACATGATAACTGTGAATTGTATAATGCAATTGGTCTGACATTGGATGAGCTGAATCGACTTCCCAGTGGGTTAGAATATCCAAACCTGAGGTTTCTCGCAGTGAATCGCAAAAGCAAATCACTGGACATACCCAAAGATTTTTTTGCAGGTATGAAGGAACTCAGAGTCCTTGATTTCACTTCCATCCGAATTCAAATTCCATCATCAATCCAATTGTTGACTAATCTTCGAAATTTGTGCTTGGACAATTGTAAATTAAACATTGAAAATTCATCTATTGGGAATCTTAAAAAGTTAGAAGTTCTTAGTTTTTATGGCTCTGGTCTCGATCATTTCCCCAATGATATAGCAGAACTTAGCAACCTAAGGTTATTGGATTTGAGGTTGAGGTACAGCTCTATCTATCGTCCACTTCCACTTCCACCTGGTACCTTATTGCAATTGAAGAAACTGGAAGAACTGTACATGGGCTTTGTTGAAATAAGAGATGATGAACTGGAACAACGAGGGTACATTATTAAGGAGATAAGTTCACTGACTGGTCTTAATACTTTCCAAATTTCAACAAATGACCCTCAGTTTTTGCTGCAAATATTACATGTTTTGTGCATTGAGGAGCTGGAAAGATTTAATATCGTATTAACTGACTTGGAGCATGCTCATATAAATGACACTAGCTATTCTTTCCAACGGAGATTGCAGATAGAAGGCATTGCTGACTCGAGTATGCTTTCACAACCTGCAATGAACTCGTTAATGAGGAGAGCTGACCATCTTTCTATAGTAATGGGCATGAACGATCTAGATGATCTTTCTCTACAAGTGATGGAGAGGAAGAATATGTTAGATGAAGATGGCTTCGAGTATCTGAATCGAAATCATCAAATAGGTGCCTTCGATCGATTACAAGAGATAAATCTATGTGGCATCCCAAGTATGAAATATTTGTGGAAGGGTGTCATCAAACCTCCATCACTTCACAATCTTGTGACTCTTAATATTAGAAATTGCCCGTTAGTTACAAGCCTGTTTTCGGTGTCAGTTGCATTATGCATGGTGAATCTCCGAAGGATAAGTATCGCTGACTGTGAGATGTTAGAGGAAATTGTTTTAATGGGCATTGAACAAAATGAAGTTACCCAAATGCTTGAGTTCCCAAAACTAAGGAAAGTTGACCTCGGGAATTTAAGAAATTTCAAGGGCTTTATATCCGGATCAAACAAGAGCGTTGGTGTGGTCTACCCAATATTCGATCAGGTAAATATTTTCTTCTTTAGTGTATATTCATGGGGCCTCATTTGTTATAAAACACTTGAATATTATGAATTCTAACGAGCACAACAGTTACAGATAAAAAAAAATTGCTTGTCCCGTTTCTCAGTTTCTAATTAATTCATAGCACAACTTTTTTGAAGCCTCGAGTTCAACCTTTGAAAATATTTACAAACAAGTTTAAAATGACACATACTAATATTACCCATATGCTTTCTTTAACGTTATGTGTAATTTATCACCTTGTATATTCTACAATCTTAAGACAACTTTCTACAAATTAATGCTTATTTAATATCCTAATTATTTAAGGCATCATTTTTGACAACAAAAATGATGAACTACAAAACTAGTTTATGTAATTAAAGCTTTTTTGTAGGACTTCATTGCGTTTTTGGTCCAAACCTTTCATTTTTTGGTCCTAGTGGTGTAGATTTTGGAGCTCAATGCCAAAAATAAAAGTTTTGGAACCAAAATGCATGAAGGCCAAAGGTTTGAGACCCTTTTTGTCAATTTTCGAAGAATATTTTTATTTATTATAGGTGATAATCAACAGTGGGCTTGATTTATAGCATGTAACTAGTGTAAAACCCATTACGCCCCTTGTCGAGCTGAGCTGGTGATCAATCCCAGCAATATTTTTCTTTTTCTTTTTTTATTTCTACTAGTATTTTCCAAAAAATTCTCAGCACCCACAATTCAAACACGTGTTCAGACTTGGGTTGATGTTTACATTTTCTAATGGGCTCTATATTTCATGTTTCCATAATTATTTTATATTCATACAGTTATGTTTACTGTATGCTAATTCATCTCAAGAAGGTCTCAATTAATTCTACAAAGGTAAAGATTATATTAAAACTTATGAGGCTTTATAATTTCATAATTTTAGCTGATATCATTAAATAAATTTCTTGCAGGTTACATTGCCTAACTTGGAGTTGTTATACCTTCATGAATTGGATTGTACCGTAAAATTATTGGATGAACTGAGGGAAATCAGATCTGATAACCTAAGAGAATTGAAGGTGGAACGTTTAGATGTTGCGTCCATTCTATTTGACTTTGAGTATGTAAAAGATGATGCAGAAATTAGTATACTCAGTCAGCTAACATCAATGTTTGTGAGATTTCTACCCAAATTAGTTCAATTCACAAGGATGTTTCCTAAAGGAGTTTGTATCTTTGAGAATTTGACACTTCTTGAAGTTTCAAAATGTGACAGCTTAAGTTACTTATTCTCACCTTCAATGGCCAATTCACTTGTGGCTCTAAAAGAAATGTGGGTTGCGGAATGTAATGCAATTGAAGAGATTATTGGAAGACAAGAAGAAGAAGATACTTCGAATATAGAAATTGTGGAAGAAGGAATCACAAGCAAAATTGTGTTTCCTAAATTGAACAATCTAACACTTCTTTGTCTTGATAGATTCAGATTGCTTTCCTCTCACAATTATGAACTTATGTTCCCTTCACTAGAGTATTTGCACATTGAAGAATGTCCCGTGATGATAAAATTGTGTTCAAGACAACTAAGTGCACCAAAGCTTGATAGAGTATGGATAAGCAAAGAAATATCCGTTGATATTTCAAATTTTTTGGATTTTGAAGGTATACACGTGACTTCTTGATTCCCAATCTATAACATCTACACTTTTATATACGCTATAATATAATGCACAATATTAATTAGTATATGAATAATTGATAAACTAACATCCTCTGCTTCTCAGGCTCAATGCAGATATGAGAGGAAAACAAATTTGTGGATACCTCAAATATTGTTGAGGATGCAGGTATACGCTTCCAACGTCTAGTTGAATTGCTTGTATGAATAATTGGAAAATTCATACTCTGTTCCCCAGGCTTTCATCCATGAACAATGAAGACATAGCATACAAATTCAGGTGGTGTTGCTTTCTTTGTTGCATTTCTCATGAGAGAAGATTTCCACAGAATCAGTTGGAGGAAGCTTGGGCCCTATCAAAGATATCTTTTGGGACATCTCAGCACACAGGTGGTAATTGATCATGGAGCTGTCACTTGAATCTTGAGCTCCTTTGCTAGCTCAGGTGAATGATACTACCAGAAACAGTTAAAAATGTAGAAACAAACGTGAATTTACTTGCAAAATATTTTTTTGTGTGAATGTATGGTTGAAAATAAGTTTGAGAAAAAGGAATTTTAATTTAATGGATGAGAAATAGGGGCTACATCACAAATGGAAGTTGAACCTACTTTTCATGAAAACTTTATTATTCCTATAAAGAAGCATTTTGATGAAAATGCTAATGATGAGATAATACATTAAGCTAAGTATCGTTTATAGTTGATTATTTCTTATATATAGTTGGCCGAGCTCTTTTTCCACTTAAGTTAAGTTTTGAACAATTTTAAAAATATGAAAATACTTTGGAGTTTCTATTTGAGTTAAAAAATTTATCGACTGCAAATGATAACTTTTCAAAGTAATGGTGTGATAAGCTTGAAAAATTTTTGAAGCGCTACAATGATTCTGATATTAATGGGCAGTAGTTATTTTTGAGCTGCAAATTATTTCAAAATATTTGTTAATATATATATATATATATATATACATCTATCGATTTGAGCTTTTCAAAGTTGAAATTGATAAAATCCTACTTTTGATCAACAACAAGAAATGTTTAATGAAATATCCATGTTGTCTATCAAAAATTATGTTATTAGACAGATTGATTGTAATAGTATAATTGTTGATTTTCTATTTAAAGTTCAAGAAGAATAAATTTAATTTGGATGTTTAACAGTTTTATATTATTATTTAATAAAAATTACGGAAAGAGAACAGCTACTATAGAAGAAAAGTTTTTAGATGGAAGGGTACGAGGGGAAGGGATTTGGTTTCCTTGCTAATCTTTGGACAATTTGACGGATCTTCTATCTTGTTTTCAATTATTATATCCATATTTTTTAAATACTTACAGGGTGCCCGTATTTGAATGATGGTTCTAAGGCTGTCAAACTCTAAGGGATGGTTGTTAACAAATAAAGCTAAACGTTTTAAGTCAACAATGTACTAAGCCTCTATGCGATCTGCTCAAGTGCCTTGATCCAACAATTGTCAGTGAGTTTGAATGGACTTAAGAATATTTTTGAAGGTGAAGCGATTCGGTGACTTTGTAATCGTTTGATGGGAATTTTGTACCAAGATGTATGTTATTTCAATTGTTAGAAGTAATTTGTATTTTAAAAAATATATATTTATCCAACTCCCGTTCTCATTCTCATTCTCATGATGAAACCAGACAAATTATTTCCTTTTTAATGGTGTTAGAATGCCTTTCTTGTCTAATTATCTAAAAAAAATATAAAGTGATCACATATGGCAAAATAAGTTTTTTGTCTCTCAAGCGCACTATGGTCCCAACATCTTTGCTCGACAACCATTAGTGTTATGTTTGGCTTTGGAATGTCGCCAACCACTTTGTTCCAGTCCCCCTTTTTCCTGCCTGATATTCCCCTTTCCATGCTAAAATTACAAATATAGTTTTATATTAGAAAATAAGCCTGTCGACTTTTTTTCTTTTCTTTTAACGAAGACGGCAGATTAAAGAAACAGTATAACAAGGAAGAATGAAAATTAGATTTTTTTTAATAAAAACAGAGGTTGATTTGACTCTGCTGATTTTTTCTGTGTTTTAAACATCAAAGTTAACAACGATGAAGATAAGAAGATATGCCTAATGTCAATAGCAAGAATATCTTTAGTTAAAGTTTGTTAATTGAAATACTTTAATTCTTACTTAGAGCTTGAGCCATTTTAAGATAATCCTTGTCCAATAATCTCTTCATGAAATCTACTGAAACGGCTGACAAAGAAGGTCGTGGGGTTTGATTAAAGCTCGAATATTCTTGGCTTGAAAGATTCCCAATTCCTCCCATGCATTCCATAAAGAAAAATATTAATGAACACACCAATCAGTGGCGAATCTAGGATTTTGAGTCAGTAAAGCGATCGTTGACCGCCAACCGTCAGCCCAATAAAATATTACGAGCTCGTTTGATGTCTCTTTTTCCTTTTTTTCTTTTTTTTTTTGGGAAAAAAATACATTTTGGAATAATGATTTGATGGAAAATATGTGATTAAAAATAAGGATAAATTTTCAATTTGTGTGTAATATTATTTTATTAAAAAATATATAGTTGAAAATAAAAGAGAGAAAAATATATTCTTAAATAAATGGGAATCAAACAAGATCTAAAATTGAAATATAACAATTATTTTGTTGAAATTGAACATATATAATTTTGTTATAAGAATAGATCATACTCATCAAATGACATTGTTGTCAAGTTATATATAGTTCAAAGGAAGAACAAGGGTTCAAATTTTTGTTGTTGCATTAAAACACGCTAAGATCTAAATTATATAAATTTGTTAATTCTATTGTCATAATTTAAAGAATAGCATGATGGTCAAACCTTTAACTATTCCAACAAGAGTTCGAATTTTTGGTAAAAATTGTAGAGCTAAAAAAATTGTACAATAAAAATTGGTTTATAGAGGATTCGAACCTAGGACATGCAAGAAGAAAAAACCAGTGCTAACCAACTCGGCAAGAAGAAATGTTTATATAGAGAGTGTATTATCAGAAATATAACCAAAAATATTTAGCTACTGTAAAATTGAAAAAAAAAAAAAAAAAGCTTCCGGTGGACC